TAAATAAAACCAAGGTCAAAATTAAATAATGACCAAATCATCTCCAACACAACTCAACTCTACCGAAAATTCACCAAACATCCAATTATATTAAAAAATCCCAACACTTACAACTTCACTCATATATACAAAATAATACACTATAGAACTTGAGTGAACAAACAAACTTGAACTCTTTTTTTCCTTTTCTGATTTTTTTCCACTTTTTTTTTTCTAGAAACCTTCGATAGAACATTTGAACATCAAACAATTTTTTTCTTTGCTCTTTTTTTTCTTCTTTTATCTCACATCGGAACTTTTTCACTTTGAACAACAATTTTTCAATATTTATTCCAATCTATAAAAATAAGAACAAATAAAAACTTCTCAAGCCCACCCAAAACTGTGCAAATAAATATGCACACTACAAACTCCCTCACCTCACTCACTAATAGCTCCCCCAAGCCAAGCTTGGGACTAGTAACCAATGGGGCAAAATAGGCTTGTAATGTGGTTAATAAACAATAAACAGTCAAGGCAACAACATGGGTAGCAAGAAGGGAACAAATGTATCTAATAATTCTGAAGGCCACCTACAAGAACAAATGCCTTCGTCCTCCTCAATGTGCATAATAACGAGTCATATAAACATTACTCAAAGTTATAAACCAATACTCAACTTCATTGACATACTAGGAACTAACACACATTCCTAACCAAATCAACTAGTCAAGCACCATATTCACAGGTAGTTGGACAAAATTGACTCATGTTAAGACATCAAAGCAATCAAACATCAATTCATGGCTAACCTATCCCCAATACTCATCATCATATACCAAGAATCAAAACAATTTCGAAAAATTTCATGTATGGGGCACAGGGAAGCATGATTTATTATTCATTGGATCGTATTTTTGTATTTTTTTTATTTTCCAAAGCAATAAAAACTATCCTATAAATCAATAAAACTAGACTAAACACACCAAAGAAAATAAAGAGAAAAAGGAAGAAAGAGTACTTGTATATACAAGAAATTCCCCCAAGCCAAACCAGACAATGTCCTCATTGGCTCAGAGGGAAGAAAGTAACCCAGGCGACTACCCTTCATAATCAAACTCATAACCACCACCATCCCAAGCATTGCAATGCATCACCTTGGTACAATTCTGGACAAGAAAGAAACAAAATGTTAGTAAGAAAAGAGGTAAAAAAAAGTCAGTTTCACTATTTTGATCATAAATTTTTTTATACAAATGATAATGCAGTGATTCCAATTGCATTGGAAAGTAGACTTGAAGAACTTTCCAATGACAGGTTAAACGCAGAATTCCGTAAAGAAACGCAAAAGTTATGGCTTTTTAAAGTTGGCTAGTTTTGCTGTCGCGATCTCGCGCCCGGCTCCGCCCGGTCGGGCGAGCTTAGCTCTTTTTTCGACCTTTGTTCTCGCGCCCGGTCGGGCGGTTGTTCGCCCGGTCGGGCGGTTGTTCGCCCGGTCGGGCGAATTTTGGGCAAAAATCCTCTTTTCTCTCGTGCCCAGTCGGGCGGGATCTCGCCCGGTCGGGCGAGTATGCTCGTATACGGACTTCCTCTCGCGCCCGGTCGGGCGCCCTACAGCACTTTGAGTCCGATTTTTCTCATTTTGTTCCTTTTTCTCCACTTGTTCCTCTTCAAACCCATGCCCTACACAATTTAGAACCCTTTCTATAGCATCCACTTCATCCTTCCATGTAGTAGCTTTTCCCGTGGGAGATGTAACACAAGATACCGCCTCCAAGGGATCTCTTATGAGAGCTTGGGGCTTATTAGAAAAATTATATACATCAACCACATCAATACTATAGCACTTTTCTTCCAACATGGGGCTTTTGGGGGCATTATGTAGATTAAAAATAATATTTTCATCCCCTACACATAACGTAAGTTTACCACTTTTCACATCTATTATTGCCCCTGCAGTATGAAGGAATGGTCTACCCAATATAATTGGAATTTGCAAATCTTCCTCCATATCAAGAACAATAAAATCAACAGGTATATAAAATTTACCTACTCTAACAGGTACATTCTCTAAAACACCTAAAGGATATTTAAGAGAGCGATCAGCCATTTGTCGAGTAATATTGGTAGCTTTTAAATTACCCATATTTAATTTAGAGCTCACAGATAATGGCATAACACTTACACTAGCACCCAAATCACATAAGGCTTTATCAATCATCAAATTTCCAATGTGACAAGGAATAGAAAAACTACCCGGATCTTTTAGCTTAGGTGGAGATTTATTTTGTAGTATAGCACTACATTCTTCAGTAAAAGCAACTGTCTCTACCTCACTAATAGGTCTTTTTCTGGTCAATATCTCTTTCATAAATTTACAGTATGCAGGAACTTGAGTAATTAATTCTGTAAAAGGAACTGTTACCTGCAAATTCTTGACAACCTCCAGAAACTTACCAAACTGCTTATCCAACTTACTCTTAAGATGTCTATTTGGGAATGGTAGTTTGATAACTGGTTTCTGTACATCCCCAGTCTTGTCTTGATTTTTTTCCTTCCTTGGAGTTATACCCTGCAATGTATCATCAGAAATGTTAGTTTTACTCTGGAGCCCTGCAGGGCTAGTAACAGCAACATTTGGTGTAACAGAATCATGATTAGTAATTTTTGTAATGATAGGTTCGTCATCTTTGGGCATAGAAGGCCCATCGTAATTTGAACCACTTCTCAGCGTAATTGCATTCATGTGATCTGTAGGTTGCACCGGCTGCGATGGTAGGGCTCTCTGCTGGCGAGTTTGTAAAGTAGAGGAAAGTTGCGCAATTTGATTGTCCACGATTTTATTATGGGCTAAAAGTGAATCAATTTGTGCATCCCTACTCTGCATGTGTTTTTGCATACTTGCTAACATAGTTCTAATTTTTGACAAGGCAAGGTTAGTGGTTGGAGGTGGATTTTGTGGTTGGCCCCTTTGGTTGGGAGGTTGATAATATTGTTGTTGTGTTTGTTGTGGTGCTTGTTGTTGTGATTGTTGCGGAGGTGGAGGGTTTAGCACATTGGTACTCCGGTAGGAAAGATTTGGATGGTCTCGGAAGCCAGGATTATAAGTGTTGGAGTATGGGTTATTTTGCCTATAGGTTTGGAAGGCATTAACTTGCTCCATGGAACTCCTACAATCTTGTTCCCAATGACCTATAATTCCACAATTTTCACAAAAAACATCATTAATATTATTTTTAACAGCAGAAACATTAGCTATGGAAGATGAATTAGAATTATTAATATTGTCTAATTTCTGGCTAATAGCAGTCAATTGTGCTTGCAAAAAGGATATAGAATCAACTTGGTGCTTTCCCTTATTTGCAAATCCTCGGGGATTCCCATATTGGGAATTACGAATAGCCATCTCTTCAACAACATTACTGGCTATATTCACATCTAAATTCATAAATCTTCCATTAGCTGCAGAGTCCAAAATCATTCTTGAATTATATCCAATCCCATTGTAGAAAGCTTGGATTATCTGCCACTGTGCTAGCCCATGATGAGGGCATTCTCTCTGTAAATCCTTAAATCTTTCCCAAGCTTCATACAAAGATTCATCTGCTTCTTGGGAAAAATTTAGGATCTTACTCCTTAATAAAGCTGTTCTCTCTGAAGGGTAATATTTATTGTAAAAATTCAAAACAAGAGTTTCCCAGTCAATAATACCAAGTGCAGTTCTATTCATTCCATTATACCACAATTTAGCTTTACCACATAAAGAAAAGGGAAAAAGAATCTCCCTGATTTGGTCCTGCGTGACCCCAGCTTGCTTAATAGTATTGCAATATTGGCAAAAATCCAAGATGTGAAGATTTGGATCTTCACCCTTAGCTCCGCTAAATTGCTTCCTTTCGATCATAGTAATAAACTGGGGTTTGATTTCAAACTGTACTCCTTCGAGATCAGGTGGAGGAATAATATGTGGGAAATCTGTCAGGGTCGGCTGTGAATAATTGCTGAGCTTGCGAGGTGGTTGGTGCGTCATCTCTTTTTCTAGTTCTGAATAAACTTCTGTATCACTAGAATTAGATGGTGGTTCCAAAGGTAAAGTACCCTCGGAAGTAGCTCGTACTTGTCTAAAAAGATTATCCTGTCTATGAAAAGAACGTTCAATCTCAGGGTCAAACGGAATGTAACCTGATCTAGAACTCCTGGGCATAAACATAGAACTAAACAAACATATATGAGAAACTGTCCCAAAGAACTTGCGTTCTCTGAGACGAAAGAAAATAATTTAGAGTACAAAAATAATCAGAAATGAAAAATAAAACCGTTTCCCCGGCAACGGCGCCAAATTTTGACAGGATCTAGTCGTATCACCTAATCAAAAGAAATTCCTAAGTCCTCTAACTAAAACAGATAGGGAAGTAGGGTCGAATCCACAGGGAAACAGTGTTCTTTTATTCCTAATCAATAATTATAATCTAAATTATAAGTAACCAAGTTATGTTTGTGTGAATTAAACTAAAAAAAAAACTAAGCAAATAAATCTAAGGGAATAATCAATAATAAAAAGCTCTAGGGTATAGGTTCACCAATAAATAATACTCCAGGGTAAAACATACAATCAAATATCAATGCATAAATTAACCAAATTATAAAGGGATGTCGCTACGTATTATAATCACATAATTAACCTACTGGTATTAAATCTCATCTCTCGAATCTCGACCTAACCATTAATAGATTAACATGCCTATTGAAACTAAGCCTAAACATCAATTCTCATCCGTCGAATATCGAATCAATATTGCATGACTCATACAATTAAACCAGGCCTAATCTAATTGCATAGCATTAAATCAATCAATAGGAAATTAACCAATCATCAATAATAAATAATAATAAATTACCCCTTCGTATTATTCATGGATCCCCATAACCCTAAAATTAAACTACTCACACATAATTAATATTAAACTAGGCAAAGCAATTAAAGAAAGCATAATTAAATTAAAACAATGGAGTTCGAAAGTAAAGAGGGAATAAATCGTTACCAAAATTAAAGGAAATAATGAATTGCATAAATCAAGAATGTGTAGAGAGATAAAGTGTAGAGAGAGAAAGTAAGAGGGAAAAGAGAGAGAGAGAGAGAAAAAGAAAAGTCGTCCATGTCAAAGACGCCGCCAAACTCACTTAACAAAAGCGTATTTATACTAAACTATAATCCTCAATAAAGAAAAAAAGAGAAACAAATATAAAAATCCTAAATAAAACACGCGCCTGGTCGGGCGAGGCATCGCCTGGCTGGGCGTGCCTTTTTCTTCATTAATGCTTGCTCGCGCCCAGTCGAGCGCGCATCCGGACGAACCTTCGCCCTATAGTCTTCTCCTCTCGCTCGGCCGGGCGCGCCTTCGGGCGAGGGCATTGCCCGATCGGGCGGATGCTTGGGCTTACTCTTCTTCGTCCTTTGGGCCTTGTTACCTTAGCCCAATTCGTCATCCTTCTTGGATCGAATTGCCCAAGCTTCAAATCTCCTCATTGAGCCCTTAATCACCGGATTGATTCCTTAAATACGGTCGTGGGCTTCGGAATACGATCATAGAAATGCGTCTTGTCTCCAATGCTCGCGGTGGCTCCACTAAGTGCCGGAAAATGTTCCAAATTTGCAGTTTCCTGTAGAATAATACCACAACTACGAAAACACTAGAAAACACATTTAAGTAATAAAATTGGCTCTAAAGAGCCAAAAATACTCCTAACTATGATCGCGTGACGGGGATAAAATACTATATAAAATGAATACATCACCGAGTTTGATCCTTTCAAAAATCTAGCTACAAAGGCAACACATTCTTTGGCTAGATATCCTTCTGCCATTGAGCCTTCTGGACGAGCTTTATTTCGAACATCTTGCTTCAGTCCTTGAAGATACCTCTCAATCCCATACATACACCTTGAACTTACAGGTCCACCCAACTTAATTTGGCCCACCAAGTGTAAAGGTAGATGTACCATTATATCGAAAAAGGCAGGTGGAAAAATCCTCTCAAGTAGGCATAATGTTTCAACTATCTCTGATTGCAATTTTTCAAGATGTTGAGGATCAACAGTTTTACTCCATATAATTTTTAAAAAAGCACAAAGTCTAATCAAAGGAGTAGCAACATCTTTGGATAATGTTGTCTTCACTGTAATTGGGAGCAAATAATTCATCATAAAATGTGCATCGTGGCTTTTGTAGGCTGCAATTTTCATTTCCCCAACTTGTACACATCGACCAATGTTAGAAGCATAGCCTTGAGGAAGTTTGGCATTTTTGAAGACTTGGCAGAACTTACGTTTTTGCTCCAATGACATCCAAAAGCGAGATCTTGGAAATTCTTCGCCACCATCTTCCAATTCTCTTGGTTGAAGCTCCGACATCAAATTAAGCTCTACCAAATCTCGACGAGCACTCACATGATCCTTGGTCTTTTGAGAAATGTCTAACAATGTCCCAATGACACTATCAAACACATTTTTCTCAATATGCATTACATCGATGTTGTGACGATTAAGACAATATGCTTCCAATATGGTAACTCGAAGAAAATGACCCTCTTTTTCCACGTATACGGATCATCAATAACACGCCTTGGTTTCTTTTGCTTCTTTCCAAATTCATTTGGAAAATGACGCAACAGATTAGCTACATCGATTCCATTTAATAGAGTAGGTTGATGTCTTTCCTCGACTTTCCCATCAAAATTCCTCTTATCACGACGCCAAGGGTGAAATGGAGATAGAAATTTACGATTTTCCCTATACACATTCTTAGCACTATAAGGAAACCACTTAGAATCTAATTCATAGTGACACTCAAGGCACGCCAAGTATCCTTTTGTGCTCCAGCCAGATAACATAGCGTAAGCAGGAAAATCACTCACGGTAGTCATCAATGCTACATGCATGTGAAACCTCTGGTTACTCGAAGCATCATAAGTTTCCAGTCCGAACTCCCACAAATCCTTCAAGTCCTTCATTAGTGGTTGCAAATATATGTCAAGGTCATTGCCTGGGGAAGAAGGACCCGGAATTAGTAGTGCTAACATCAAATACTCAGGCTTCATAATCAACCAAGGAGGCAAGTTGTAATTGATCAACATAACTGGCCAAGTACTATGTACAATACTCATTGAGTTGAATGGGCTGAAGCCATCTGTGGCTAGTCCTAGCCTCACATTGCGCGGGTCATCTAAAAACTCTTTGTACAAGGAATCAAATTCCCTCCAAGCTTGACCGTGAGCTGGATGATTTAAAAGATGATCATTTTCACGCCCATCCGCATGCTAAGTCATGTATCTCGCCGTCTCTTGACACATAAACAGTCGTTGAAGCCTTTTCTTTATCGGAAAGTACCTAAGAATCTTTTAAGGAATCTGTAGGTCTTTCCTTTACCATTATCTATGTCATCCTCTTTGTCCTTTAATTTCCATCTTGGTGTTTTACAAACATGGCAGCTTGTTGCATTTTCATGCTCTTCCCAATATATCATGCAATCGTTTGGACATGCATCAATCTTTGTATAATCCAACCCCAACACTTTCAAAACACTTTTCGCTTCATTGAAAGAAGTTGGCAACTTTGCATCAGGCAACACCTCCCTTATAAGCTCCAATATATCTCCAAATGCGGCATTAGTTAGATTATGATTACACTTCAAAATAAAAAGTCGAATCATGAAGGAAAGTTTTGAGTGATTTTTGGAACCAGGATACAATTCTTCTTGCCCTTCTTCAACTAACCTCAAAAACTTTTTTGCCTCATCATTTGGCCCCTCTCTAAAAGCATCACGTGCATCATGCAACAACCTCACTACGTCATCGCTAGAGTCATTTGGGATTGACCCTTCATCATTATCCAAAATAGTTTCTTCTGTTTGGATATTGAACCCTAAGTCTGATAACTTATCCGATATTGGAACAAAACCATTACAAATTAGATGGTCTCTCACCACACCTTCACATCGCCAAAAACGATATTGACAAATTTGATAGGGACAATAAATTTGATTTCCTTGAGACTTAATAGCAAAAGCCCTTTTGACATATTCGTCGACTCCTTGTTCATATTCATCGCTCCATTTGGCAAACATCCACCAATTCTTAGTTCCACCTTCCATTCCTTAGGGTAAAAATAGAAATTAACAGAGTAAATAGGTGCCAAAGGATAAAGTCACATAACCTATACAACTCTCATTATTTTTCACCAATAATGAAATGAAGCTTATTTGTTAATTCAAGTGAAATAAGAACTCCTTGATAAGTTCAATTACATGCAGACTTACAAAAATATTAAATGCACTACTAATAACTAACTTGAGTAATCTTGAAGACCAGTTGACATGCGTGGGATGCTTATAAGAGTCATAGTCAGTTAATTACATCCTCCCTAAACTAATTAAACTAACCCAACCCAAAAGTTAAATCACAGTGAAGCCCTTCGTCTCGCGATATCAGTTTGTTCAGGTAGGATTGCAACTCCCAATGCACCCAAGAAAAAACTAAGAACTCTAACTTACCAAGGATCCAACCAATGAAACCTAGCTATATAAATCAAATCAAAGTATCAAACTAATTAAATTAAACAAATAACGAATTGGGTATTTAATAAATTGAATAAAGAGCCTAAAATCAAGATTGGGTATCAACATTTATAGAAAATAAAGCGAAATTACCCCTAATAGGAGCAGGTCAAGATTTTCCTTCAATACATTTACGACAACCTAATTGCAAAAATCCTTGATTATTACATTCAACTAATTCTTCATAGCATGATTCTTCAGATTAATTAACACAGAAAAATTCAAAAACACTACAAAATTCTACAAAAAAAATCAACTAAAATTTCACAACAAAAGGACATACTAAGAACCAAATGAGCTCACCAGACCAATAGAAGGAAAATCAGTGGCCAATTCAAATTTGTAGTCTGGATCAGAGAGATTTGCTGCCAATGAGACTTCTCCTTGCCGTGCTTGTAATTTTGGATGTTGTGTTAGTGTAGTTATCAACAGTCATAACAGTCATTCTTAAATAAAGCATGCAGCTGATGATGACATCGCAGCCATCAGCAATAAGAAATAGCAATCCTCTTAAAAAGAGATGGCAACAATTAAATGGACAAAATTCAAATAGCACATGTAGTATTCTCTTCTAATACTCACTAAAATTTTCTTTAAGTATACAAAGTTCCTATTAAAATGTACTTTGACAGTAATTGCACATAACAGCACAACATAGTATAAACATACAGAGAGAACCACCTGTTCTTTCCCTTGTCAAATATCTCAGAAAGGCATTGATAACATTGAGCTCCAACTAAACATATCAACGCTACCAAATATTGGAAAAAAAGTATTAAAATCAAACAATGATTTCAATGCCTTAACATTGCCAGACAAAGAGCCCCTTTATTTACAATTTATATCTTAATGATAAAGTTACAAAAACGAATAGGGACTAAGATTGACAAAGTTTATGGCTCTCTTACTGTCTTACTAATTTCCAATTCAAAGAGCATCCTGAACCCTTCAAAAGCAGCAAATTTTTATTTTTTTTAAAATATTATACAGTATCACCAAATATTAGCCCCTGGGGTGATGGCAGACAAACACCAATAAAATAAATCACCCAGAATATGGCAGGAATAACTATGTTGCATGTTCTTATCTGGGTCTAGATAGTCATATCTTGCTATTGTTCCGTCCCTTGCCACTGTTAGCATATTCATAGACAAGAATTACTATCTTATCCTAGATTGATCAACAAAGCTCTGCGATTACAGGTCAGATCAGTATAAACTCGTCTGAAACTCAAGTTAAGTTCAAGTTTTGTGTCAACTGTCAAGCAAACTAGCCTAAGAACAACTTTAACTTGGTCATATTACCCTGTCGTATAATGAATGCAATAAAGCACATACTTTGGGAAAAATGGATCATGTTTTTGGTGGCTGTCGGCTGAGGTTCATGCTGCAGGAATGTAGAAACCGTTGATGTGCTCAGGAAACAGTTTAAACCTACATCATCCTAAATTTGTGTTAGTGCTTATTATGCTTTGAAAACTGATTAGCTCATAAATAAATTGCATGCTTAATACCAGTAAAAGACGTCAAAAAGTCAGTACAGTCAATTCCGTGCTTCCTGCATATATCTGTTAGAAGCTTCTTTACTGCCTGTCTGCTCAATTAGAAGCAGAATAGAAAATACTTCAATAATATTTAAAACCCTCAAATTACAAAGTTACAGAATATGTATCAACGAATATGATGTACCAGATAATCTTCATAATTTCTGACAAACGGAACAAAAATCAACAAAATAGATGAAAAAAAATTAAAGAGTAGAGTACCAACAATAAGAACAAAACGTTTAGCAGGAGAAGAAAAGCAGAACCAAAGATTCGAGCAGCTAACTTCAACAAGTATGTCAAGTAATTACACAAGCACCTAAAATCACCAGCTTATGAAGTAATACAAAATTACAAAGTACTACGGTACTATTTAGTAACTAGAAACTCAAATTTGTAACTTGCAACTTGCAACTTGCAAGAGTCTTTAATACTTCATGTATAGCTGATTACTCTGTAACACCAGTATATGTATTTTTTTTATTTTTTTTTTATTTAATTTTTTTTTTTATAAATGAAACATGATACTCATATACTTGCAAGAAGTACCAAATTAAGTTAAACAATAATACTAAAATTATCAATTGATAAGTGATATTGTCATATGATACATATATATGCAGCTTTAATTTATTAATTGTGTATATGTATATAACTACCTTTTAATAAAAACTATAACAAATCGAAGTACAATTAAATGACAGAGAATTCATAGTTTCATACTATTAGGCTATCAGCAACATCCTTCCTACTATCAGCAACATCAATCCCGGTTTTTTCTCAACAACCTTTTCACCACATCAAAACCAAAAGTCCCTAGAAAAAATTAGGGTTCATAAATCGAAAAAGCAACCCAACAACCACCCTCAAGCAAGCAATCAGCCACATGCAACATTCGAACAAATCAACAAATCTAAATCCAATGATTCGAGCAATTAGCCACATGCAAGGTTCAAACTAAAACTAAATACAAAACAAAATCAATAAATCTATAATTGGTAGACGAAAATTCAAGGTATACCTTAAATAGAGATTCGAACACGAAGCAGCGGCGGCGAGGGAGGAGAACGAAGCAGCGGCGGCGAGGGAGGAGAGCGAAGGAAGGAGCAGCGGCGAGCTAGGGAGGAGAACGAAGGAAGACTGATGAGAAGTTTGGGAAAAGGGTTTCAATTTCATTTTTGGCTCTAATATTTCAGCATTTCCCGGTTTTTTTTTTTTTTTTTTTTTTTTTTTTTACTCATCCGTTGTATTAGGTCTTATTCTTTTTTTCTTTTTATTTTTTATTTTTTGGGCTGATCCGTTGGATTAGCTCCAACTGAAAAATAAAAAAAAAATAAAAATATTCGGGAACACTATCCGTTGTGTTAGAAGAATAATCCGTTGGATTAGCTCATCTAATACAACGGATTAGTATATCTAATACAACAGTTAGTATAAACCGTTGTATTATCCCTGTTTTAGTGTAATACAACGGACTAGTCTAATACAATGGTATGAAATTAGCCATTGTATTAGCTATTTTTGTACCGTTGCATTAGATTAAAAATGTAGTAGTGATATATGACAAACATGACAAAAATCGTTAGAAATATAATAGGAATAAAAGGAACATGATTCCTTACTTTGATTGTGCTTGCAACTATAAAACAAAAAACACGTTCGTAACTTCAAGGAAAATAATAAACAATAATGGATATTAATTCAAATAAAAGTAAAGTTGATTTGCGGCGAAATCCTCAAACAATTCTACCTTTCACACCTTGATTTAAGTATGTAATTTCAGGTAAAGTACGGACTCCGGGAAGTGCTTAGGGGATGAATTGTGAGAATAAGGAAGGCAAGTATTTAGGCTAGGGCATAAGAGAGAAAGAGAGAATTATTTTGTGCCTCGAAATTGTGAAATTTGCCTCGTATATATAGAGGAAATGTTGGGGGTGAGGTCTGAAACCCTAGAAATGAAGCGCTGCATAAAAATAAAGCATTGTGGCACGGTGTAGGCTGCCGTAGTACGACATTGTTGCAGTGGCACAGTAGTTGTATCGTAGCTCGACAATCAATTTTATCATTTTTGAAGGTCAAAATGCGTACAAAGATAAATAGGGCAAAGAAATTGTCGTGGCATGGTAAAGTTTGCTGTGGCATGAAAAATTCTGTCGTGGCACAGAAAAGTCTATCGTGGCACGACAGATGGTGTTTTGGAATTTTATTTAAAATTCATTTTTATCTTTTATTTTACATAAAGTACAGGATAATTAAGCATCATTTCAGCTATTCCGGACTTATTTTAGGTTTAGAGTTTTAATATTTATTAATCGGGCGCAATTAATAAATGAATAAAATGGACAAAATGGTTTGGGCTAAAAAATGAGGGATTGGACAATGTTTTGACTAAATACTTGGACTGATTTGTAAACTGTGTTGGATTGAAAAAGGATTTTAAGCACTCCCGAGATTAAATACTCGACTCGACCAATAATGGAGGTAAAAGGTTGTTCATCATCCGTGGTTTGGTTTTGGGGAGAAATTTTTAGATGTTGACAGAAGCCCCCACTTTAACTGAGTTTGTAAAAACGTAAGTTTCGAAAACGATAGTAAAAGTAGTCGATAGGGACGGAGAATGATTTAAGATGTTTTGCGATCCCAAATCACTCTGTATAAGACGATACCTGCAGAAAAGCGTTTGTTCCATAGATAAAAGAGTAAGGGGATAGAATGCATATCTAACGACAGCGCATCGGCACCAAATACGTTTGGTAGTTTTCTGCGCCTCGAGAAATCTACCGGATGTTGAATGATAGGCTTCTGCGCCTCGGGAATCCTATCATGTACCACTGCGCCTCGAGCGATCCACGAAATGAAAGGTGACAAGTTACTGCGCCTCAGGAAACATGCCGTAGACTCCTGCGCCTTGAGTAGTGTACTGAATAATGATCTTCTCGAGCCTCGGGAAGATTGATGAAGGATAGTCTTTCGCGCCTCAGGAATCCTATCGTGAACCCCTACGCCTCGAGCAACTGACAAGTGAAATTCCGCGCCTCAGCAAAACATGTCTGATGATGAAAGATTACAAGCCTCAGCGCCTCGGGAAGCTTGCAATGTGAGTAACTGTTCGCGCCTCGGGATGATCATTGAGTGTTGATAAATGTGCCTTTGATTTCCTCCAAAGAGAAGGGATGTTCGATTATCTCCGAACAGAAGCTGTGGATGATGATAATAGCGCCTTCAAGTCATGTGCATCTGACTGTATGGACGTTGGTGATGATGATGAAATGTGGATGGTTGCACCTTTAACTCATGTGTATCTAACTGTATAGGCGTTGCTCGATACCTTCAAAGTCATGTGCATCTTGCTGTATAGGTATTGGTGGAGAAGAGGGTACGACATTATTCAATTGTTCCCAAACATAGGCGGTTTGTATGATTGTTCTATTGTCCCCGAACAGAGGATGTTTGCTCGATTGTCCCCGAACAGAGGCTGATAGTATGATTGCTTGATTGTCCCCGAACATAGGCTATTTGCTCGATTGTCCCCGAACAGAGGTTGTTTGCTCGATTGTCCCCGAATAGAGGCTGATGTGATTGTTCGATTGTCCCCGAACAGAGGTTGTACCTGAGACCTGCAAAATGGAATTTGCCAAAGGACTCGTATAGACTGTGATTGACTCATGAATGGACCACTAATTCGACCAAGCTTGACATGGCATGTGTATGACTTGTGATTGTATGTGTATAACAATTGAGTGTGTGCTTGCAGACATATGCAAAATTTTCCGTCATTTTTTGTCATGAGTGGAGGGTACCGACTTTCTCCCGAAAAAGAAGGATGTGAAAAATGAAATTTTCGAACTTC